TTTCCATTCCACCATTGGCAGCTGTGCTTTCAGCCACTAGGCCCACAAACTCTGGAAAACTCTGCCTCAATTTCTCTGCCTTGCGTCCTTCTTGTCTTTGACCAGCCTACAGTCACCGCCCCCTCAGCATTAAGCTCTGCAACTGTTAAGCCTTCTGAGATGCTACCCAGCGTGAAGGGTGCCATATAAATGCAACGGTGGCCAACCCATGATCTCCTGGCCAGAAGTGGCCTGCGGGGCCATCAAGAAGTGGTTGCTGAATATTCGACCCAGTCCACTTCAGTCTCAAATCCAAATCAACGCCTTGTTTCCAGTATCTATCGAGTGGCGATGCCGATGGTGTGGTGGTAAATGAAGAAATATTCAATCAAGAAAATGTATTTGGTTGATGGGCCCAAAAGGTTGGCCACCACCTGCTCTACAGACACCACTTCTCTTCCAGTGCCCTCTCTTCAATAATTACTGTTAAGTACATTTACTGGGCAAATAAAGCAACCAAGTTGCACACAGCAATATCCTGCAAACAGACAAATTGTGAAATTTTGCTAAGTGCAAGTTGGCTGCTGCATTTGCCTCCAAAAAAGTCACTGCACTTGACAAAAATTGGGACTTGGAACATTTTGTTCTTCTAAGCACTAAATCAAATGCAAGGATCATTTATGACCCTCTTTGATTATATACCAGGTCTGCGGTTTTAGCGGAGGTGGGAAGATGAGGGAAAGCTGAGTAAGTAAGGACTTAGATGTAAGATTTGACAAACTTTTAGGGGTAAAACAAGACACTGAGTTTCCATACTGGAGCCACGAGGTGGAGTGAACAGGTTATTGCGGTCAGTGCCTGAGCTGAGAAGGCACTGATGAGAGCCAAGCAGGAGATGTTTGATATTGCTTACGCTTAACTGAAGGATTGAAGACTTGATATCTAACAGATAATCAGTCGAACAGCAGTGGTCCTGGAGACAAGGGTGTAGGCAGAGAAATGGAGTCGGGTGTCATTTGTGTACAGTGAACACCATGGCTGCAGATGATGTTACAAAGTGGGGGCATAAAGATGGCAAAAGGAGAGGACCGAGGATAGAGCCCTTTTACTCTGTAAATGCTAACACTTGAGCTTCTTTTCTGTTTTATTACAATGACAGGATCAAACCAAAACTGTGTCTGGTTAAATTTTGATAATAATTGAACTTTTTCTTTCTGTTGATTGTTGATTGTGTGAAAAAAATGAAAGTGGAACATTGTTGCTTTACTTTGATGGGTGGCATGCATCTGTTCTTCCCAACTACAAATCATTGAATTTTCAAGTCTTTTTTTTTGTTTAGCTGAAGCACTTGACTCAAAATCTCCACTGGGTATATGCCGAGGGGAAAAAACAAACTGAGGCCTCATTTTTTATATATCAAAGATAATTATTGTTTAGAGTTTCCTTTGATCTTTGCTTTCCTGTTACCATCATTAGAACGCACAAGATCCCAAAGAGAGGGGCAGATGAAAAATGACCATTTGATCGCTTCTTTCCAAAATACTCAGACTCCCAATTTAACCATTGCAGCAAAAACATGCTTTTTAGATGAGTTCAAATTCCCTACCTTCTTCTTGGTTACCCATTCCAGATATTACCTGCCCTCAGTGTAAAGAAATGCTTTTTGGTGCCTGCCCTAAAATTGCTATTTACGGCCCTTAACTCATTCCTTCTCATCTTGTGCTTTGGTGTATACGAAAATATTTTTCTAGATCTATCCCGTGATACATCTTGTACTACAACAATAACAGACTGAATTAATTTAGCACCCTTCACACAGGCTAGCATCATGGAGCGCTTATTAGCTCTTTAATATTGCCTCTGAAGCATCTCTTTTCTAGGCTAAAGACTCTTACATTAACCATTTATTCCTCAAAGCTTATTCTTCATAAGCCATCCTTAGGGATCAACAATAACAACAATAAATTACATTTGTATATAATAATAATAATAATCCTTGCATTTGATACAGCGCTTTTCACGTCTTCTAGACATCTCAAAACGCTTCACAGAATATACTGAAAAATAAATTGACTGTATCCAGGGCCTTCGGATGTGGTCCCAACATGAAAGGCACCATACAAATGTCATTTTTGTTGTTGTTGTATATTTGTGGGCAAAACGCGGCAGCTAATTGCGCACAGCAGTGTCCCACAAACAGACGTGGATTGAGTGACCAAATTATTATTATTATTTTTTTTTTTCTTGAGGGATTATTATCAGGCATGTGTAGTACAGAAACTTACTCAAGGTTTCGCCCTGCCGGGAATTGAACCCAGGTCTTTTGCTTGCGAGGCAAATGCTCTAACCACTGAGCTACAGAACTTTGTGCGCCTTTCACGTCAGGAGGACGTCCCAAGGCGCTGGACAGTCAGGGATCCACATCTGAGCTGGTGGTTGGGATCAGGAGGGGTGGAGGGCAGGGAGGGTAGGAATAGGAAGGTGACTAAAGGCACGGTTGAAAAGGAAGGTCTTGAGATGGATCTTGAAGGAGGCAAGGAAGGGGGCAAAGCAAAGGGACCGTGGTATAGAGTTCCAGAGGGTGGGGGCAGAGAGGCTGAAAGCCCACCCATCAATGGTGGGGTGGGCGAGGCGGGGGACGTGAAGCAGGCCCGAGTCCACTGAGCGGAGGGAGCGGATAGGTTGGTAGGGGGTTAAGAGGTCACAGAGGTAGGGAGGAGCAAGGCCGTAGAGGTCTTTGAAGGTGAGGACCACATCTTGAACTGCATCCTCTGTGTGATGGGAAGCTAGTGGAGCCGGACGAGGATAGGGTTGATAGGGTTGCAGAGCCTGATGCGGGAGAGGACACGGGCTGCAGAGTTCTGATGATCTGCAGCCTGTGGAGGAAGGAGTTGGTGAGGCCAACAACCCTTTTGACCTCTTCAGCACTGGTACAGCGGGTCTCCTTGGAGCTGTACTGGCTCCAAGGTGACATGGGTGGGAATGGAATGTCGGAATCGAGCCAGCCCTATGTGGTGGTCTCAGTAGTCCAGTACCAGAGCCAAGCAGGTCCGCAGTATTCCAGGGCACTGCTGATGAAAGCACAGCCAGTCTGGCTCAATGGCAGGACTTGGAAGGGCAGACCAGTCACTGGGGCAGGAATCTTCCTGCTCAGCTCCTGTTAACCCTGCATGGGTAGGGTGGTCCTAGCTGGACAAGCAGCAGGAAAGCTTGCTATATCAATGGCAAGCTATGCAGTTTTAGCTGGTTAGAATCCAGCAGTACCCCAACACACACTCTTGGGTCCCCAAGCCTTGGTTCCTGCCAACCTGCACCTAATATGGAATTAGGTGAGTAGTTCTGTTCGACCCTGAGCTGTCCTTTCTCCCCCATATCCGCGCCACAACTGGCACCGCCTTCCATCACCTTCGGAATATCGCCAGACTACGGCACTACCTCACCCCTCACGCTGCTGAAACTCTGGTCCACACCTTCATCACCTCAAGGCTGGACTATGGAAACTCTCTCCTCGCCGGCCTTCCCGGCACCTCCCTCCACAAGCTGCAGGTCATTCAGAACTCTGCAGCTCGTGTACTGTCCCGCACCAGGCTTCGCGACCACATCACTCCCACCCTCACTCACCTCCACTGGCTCCCCATCCCCCAGAGGATCGAATTCAAGATCCTCATCCTCACCTACAAGGCCATTCACGGCCTCGCTCCCTCCTACCTCTCCGACCTACTATCCCCTACCTACCTGCCCGTACCCTCCGTTCCTCTGGCTCCGGTCTGCTCCACATCCCCCGCCCCAACCGCCCTACCATCGGTGGCCGGGCCTTCAGCCTCTCAGCCCCGAGGCTCTGGAACTCTATCCCCCAGTGCCTTCGCCGCCTCCTCCCTTTCCTCCTTCAAGGCCGGTCTCAAGACCTTTCTCTTTGATCGTGCCTTCAGCTCCCCTCTCGACTCTCTACCCCCTCCTCGCTCCCTCCCTTCCCTCCCCTCACCCTGACCATTTCCCCCCCCTGCTCGGGTCCTGTCCCAACTGTACAGCGCCTTGGGACGTCCTCCCGACGTGAAAGGCGCTCAATAAATGGAATCTTGTTGTTGTTGTTGTTGTTCTCCAGGGAGACAGTGCACATTCCATTCCAACAATCTATCTCTAGGATTTCCATGTGTATGTGGGATGCATGGAAACCTCAGTTTGGTTTGGATACTCTTAAGCAAGATGATGGGTTTCTGCATGTGTCAGACACCCGGCTAAACAAAAAAAAAGTGGTTGGCCACAATAAGCTACATGACACCTTGTGAAAAGAGGAAGGAGTTGCTCTTGGTGACACATCCAACAATCCTCCAGATCAATTAATCACTTGCCAGTTTCAATTAACCCATGCTGGTTTGTGGCACAGCACTGGTGTAAATCACTGCTGTGTTTGGTTTCACAAAAAACAGTCATTGTGCTTAACAATAATTACATTCACTTGTTCCAATTGACAAGCTACTATGAAATGCAAGCTTGGCTTTGACAATCCTGCTATTCCTTTTCATCAATCTTAGACTAATTACTCATATGAATAGTTTTCCATTGTTTTTCTTGCAGCTTATTAACTCAGTAATTTTAATTGTTCTGAAGTTTAGCAGCAGCAGCTATTATAATAAATTTGACTGCTGTATTTATGAGGGGGAGGTAATATTTTTAGCATTTTGTGTAAAAAAAACTATCCAAGTGATAGAAATATGTGGACTATTTATCATGTTGAAAGCATATCCTCCATTGATTTATTACCATAATTCCAATGTAATTGATATTGATAGAATTCATAATTTTTGAATACATTTCTTTTGCTGTTGAAGCTGAATGTCATTTATCTTTAATATCAATTTGAGGGTGCTTTCCCGTCTTTGGCTACCAGCCCAATTTGGGTGACTAGCCAGCCACCAGTCTTAAAGTTCTTTGAGACATCCTAGCGACATGAAAGGCGCTGTATAAATGTCAATTCTATTGTATATCTGCTATACTGAACTAAAACTTGTCGATATCAACAGGAGTACACAATTGATGTGTTCTTTCGGCAAAGCTGGAAAGACGAGAGGCTAAAGTTTGAGGGCCCAATGAATCTTCTTCGATTGAACAACCTGATGGCCAGTAAAATATGGACACCAGACACGTTCTTTTATAATGGGAAGAAATCTGTGGCGCATAACATGACCATGCCAAACAAGCTGTTACGAATCCGAGATGATGGGACTCTTTTATATACAATGAGGTAAGACTTTCAAGTATTAAATGCAGAACCTTTGAAGCAGAATCAATATTGGAGCATCTTTTGCAATTGCATTGATTTTAAAACTGCCATGATGGGGAGGAAGAGGAAGTCACAAGCACATTTTTAAGAGGTAGGTGCTATTTTGTTCTTAGTGATGCTTTTTCACTGCGTTCTTTATACACAATTTAGTCTTGAGTTTCTGTGTGCAATTGGCTGCTGTGTTTTACCCACAAAACACACACTACACTTTACAGTATATTCTGTGAAACATATTGAGATATCTCGACAACGTAATGTGGCCCTATATCAGATGCAAGGATAATTATTATGCATTATTATCTATTTGATTGTTGCTGGTGCTATATTGAGAAATGCAGACTTTTCACTTTAAGGCTTTATTACACCATGACCTTTTTTAGTTAACATCACCCTTCCTTCTCCCAAGGTTAGTGACTCTGGCTGGGTATGATTCTATGGGTGTACAGACTGTTTTCTCACATGGAGGGTTTGTGAGAAGGTGGAAACACTGCTCCAATAACCATAGATGATGAATCAATTGGGGTGTTGAAAATGAAGAGACAGAGAGATAGACGTACAGACAGATAGATGTACTTGTGAAATAAAGGCATAAAGATATAAGGAGAAAAGTAGTGAAATGGAATCAAAAGATCTGCGTTAATCTGATAAAATTGAGAAACAAGCTTGATGGAGCTGAATATACCAATCCTGTCTCAACTTTCTTTGACAGCGAGTTTTATTAGACTATTTCATTTGGCTGGGGTGAGGGTTGTTGGAGGTGGTGGTGTATCACAGAGTCTAGTCCAAACCTGATTTTACCGTTTACATCCACACTTTACAGCAGGTGCTACTGGATACCGTCCATGACAAAACCCTGGCTGATTTCATTTTCCTCTCCATAGCCTCATGCACCAAGCCAACATGTAGCCAATTATTGACTCCAAAGGTGGGATCAGACTGATTTAAACCCATGATCTTGTGTGACTCAGTTCCCCACTGAGCAGTGTATTTACCACCTAAGCTCCCTTGTTCCTCAGTCTTAACAAGGTGAAGGGTTTGCTGTCCATTGTTCAATATAACTGATGTGGAAAAATAATAAATACAGAAGAAAAATATGTTTAAAGCAGCTTGAAAACATTTACAATAAATAAAGAAAAATAATTTTTGCATTTGATATAGCGCTTTTCATTTCTTCCAGACGGCTCAAAGTGCTTCACAGAATATACTGTAAAGTGAATTGACTGCATATTTGTGGGCGAAACGCGGCAGACAATTGTGCACAGCAGTGTCCCACAAACAGTCGTGGATTGATGTAGACAATTTGTTATTTTTTTCTTAAGGGATTATTATCAGGTGTGTGAAGTAAGTAAACTTGCCCAAGGTTTCGCCCTGCCAGGAATTGAATTCAGATCTCTTGCTTGCAAGGCGAGTGCTCTAATCACTGAGCTACAGGACTCCATTTGATCAGACAAATTTATAACATACTGCCACCTCTCCAAAATGATTCTGAAGCTAGATACAAGTAACAAAGAGTAAGCTTGTCATATACAGTATCTCTTATGTCACAGACATGAACTGGTTGCCACAGGCCCAGATCTAACAACAATAGTGTGATTATTATTATTGCTTACAGCACCTTCCAGTTTAGGATTGTGGCCAACACTTTGCTCTTGTGCCTTTTCTCAATAGCTTGTGAGAAAAGCATGAAACTAGCCAGCAGTTACACATTACCTTAAAATCACTTTATGTCACTATGAAAGGATATGTTAATATGAATAGAAATAAAACAATGTATTTGAAAGGCTAAGTTAATGACGTGAACAATACCAGTGTGCTTTTTACATGTAAAATTGGTCATTCACTTCATGGCTGTTTGTGCGACATTGCTTTGGGTAAATTGGCTTCCTTGTTCGTCTACAAAATACAGTCACTGCGTTTACAGTAAATCCTGTGAAGCTCTTTGGGATGTCCTTCCAACTTGAAAGACATTATTACATTAAGAGTGCAGTTATCAGAAGGCGCAGAAATGAGGTATTCCATTTCAGATATTCCACATTACTGTAACTCACTGATTTTGTATTATTACTATTGTGTAAATTTTATTCTATTCCTTAAGATTTCCTTAACTCAATTAATCCCAGATGAGACCAAGTGGCTACACAACCTCAATTGTAAAATGCCATTATCTTGCCTGAAGATCGTCTGAAGTTCCAGCCTGGAAAAAAAGACTCTTAAAACAAAAAATTACCATCTCTTATCTGAGACTTCAGGCTGCAATTCAATATGGCGATGGATCAGTTTGAAAATAATAATAATCCTTGCATTTACAATACAAAATTACATTTGTATAGCGCTTTTCATGCCGGGAGGACGTCCCAATGTGCTGGACAGTCAGGGATTTGGACATTTTGGGTCACCCTCTTAAAATGAAAGATGCAATATTTGATATTGCATCTTTCATATCAAGATGGTGTTTCAAAATGCTTCATAATATTTTGCTGTAAAGCGTAGGGACTGTATTTTGTTGACAAATAAAATCAACAGGGGGAAGGCAGATAGGGCACTGCCTCCAGTGCCCAGTCAGGCTATTACGAGCTTACATTCCTAGCTCATAATTCTCGTTGTGTTACCTGGAGTCAATTAAGTTCATGAAGATATGAAGGAATACCACAAATGTTACCCCTATATATTCATAGTGGGATCACTTCAAATGCAAGTCAACGGATCCGTCATGGATACTGAAAAAATCTAATCCTCTGTCCATCGATTAACATTATAACCTGAAAAAAATATGTGATCCAGCTTGAATGGCATTACTTTCCCTTTGTACAGTGTCATTTACCAGTTTTCAAGATGAGGGCTCAGAGATTTATAATTAGTACAATGCAATTCTGATAAAATGCATTAATTGGTGACATGCCATGGTGTCTTACAGAAGCAATTTCTTTTCATTAGTCATTGCTGTTTATTCCCACAGGCTCACTGTCCAGGCAGAGTGCCCAATGCACTTAGAAGATTTTCCAATGGATGCTCATTCTTGTCCCTTGAAATTTGGAAGCTGTAAGTATGTAAATTGGAGCAATAGCTGCTTTGTTCGGATGGGGAGTGCCCCTATCAACAATGTAATTTGGTTATGTGACTATTGCAGTGCTCCGAGACATTATCCGAAGGGAAAGGCAATGTATAAATGTAAGTTTTTCTGCCCGTAGTTTAAACTCACAATATGTTAGGCTATTTGGCATCATGTCACTATTTCCAAAAATGCAACACTCAGACGATGACTGATAAGAGATCTTGCTTTGCAATATAGAATTTCACAACTCATAATTCAGAAGAGAATTTGTGATATGCTTATTGATTTCCTAGCTCTCTCATGAATAAGAAATAACATTAAACCAGGAAGCTCAATGTGATACATGCACAAAGCCTTAGGAGTGTGTTCTTCTCTGCACAGGATTATTCCTTTCAACCCTGAAATTATAAGGCAAGGTTCCCAGAATGGGTTGTGGGACAGATATTTGGCGTCAGATATAACTGGTGCCAGATGTTTGGCATCTTGCAGTAGTTGCTACAGCAGTGTCATGCCAACCTCAGAATCTATTGAAAACTTAGAAATGTTCTTCCAAACCTATGAATTTTAATAGAAAGACAGTTGTTGGTAAAAAAANTTATGATACTAAATTTGATTGCATCATTTGATTAATCTAGTGCTGATAAAGAAGTAATTTAAAGTGTATAGCATTGCCTTCCGTGCTGCAGAAGGTCTCTAGCTTCAATCCCACATGGAGTTTTCTGAGATCAGAGAGCTCCAAGGAGGGATCTGTCACTAACTTGTGTTAAACCATTACCACAAGAAACAGCCATCGGTGACAAGCTATGCAGTTTTTGCTGGTTATTCAGTACCCCAAAAGCACACTCTGGGGTCTCCCCGAGACTTGTTTCTTGCCAACCTGTGCTTCATAAGCAGGTTGTTGCCTCCAGAAGAGGGTGTATTCCATTCCAGACATAGGAATTCCCATGTGTAGGTGGCATACGTGGAACTCTCATTCTGGTTTGGATCTTAAGCATGGTGATGGGTTGCTGCATGTGTCAGACATCCGTCACCTGGTTCTCCAGTGACTTGCTCCCCAGGCAGCAACTCTATTGATGGCCATTTGGTGGTGGGTGGGGTGGGGAAGTGCAGGGGAAGGAGAGGGAGAGTATGTCACACACCTTAAAAAGTGCTGTGAGAAACCAGCTTCCAAATTAAGGTAGAGTTTCAGAAGCTTAAATTTTAATATCACAAGATTGCATGGATGACCAACTGATGACCAGTCCTTACTTTTAAAGCCCTCCACGGTGGTGCTCTTCCCTAACTCTGTTAACATAATGATCTGTTAACATAATGCCAACCTGTCAGCTAAGCAAGCTCTGGCCTGCTTCAGGTCCCTGTCCTGCCACCACACCAACGCCGGACAGACCTTCAATTTTAGTGGCCACACCCTCTGGAACTCCATCCCATCTCGGAATCCCCCCTTATCTCCTTCAAGGCCCATCTCAAGACCTTCCTCTTTGACTGTGCTTTCAACCACCCTCCAACCCCATACTTTCCACCCCTTTTGATCCCAACCCCCAGCTCGAGTGCAAGCCCTTAACTGTTCAGTGCCTTGGGGCGTCCTTTCAATGTGAAATACGCTATATAAATGTAATTTATTGTTGTAGTTAAATTCGGCCTTCTTTTTTTTAAGTTTCTTTAAAAACTACAGAATACCAGCTTCATATTTAAGATAGAATACAATGTGTATTATTATTATAATTATTATTATTATAACAATAATACGTTTCCAAATTCTGGGTCCTCGAAAATGAACACATAAATAGAACAAGTGTAGACCTAGGTAGAATTTCTCCCTACAAATAGTAACTCAATTACACGTTAAAAATAAATTTCAATTTTCAAGCTTGACTCGTCAGAACCTTTCGGGCCTTACTGCAAGTTTGTGCCATTTTCTATTTCCCTGTGTACAAACAGCCCCAACAGTCATTCCCTTCACACTAGCAGATAGAAGTGATCACAGCTATCTCCAAATAAGCATTTTTATCAAAATCGTTGTGAAATTGCAATATGAGTAATTTGTTGAGAGTAACTGATTTATTTTACTGCTCTTAATGTAAAAGATTTATTGGAGAAATGACATCCCACTGAAGTAAAATGCTCTTCTGATCACTTTGTTTGGGCTTCAAACCTACAAGTGACAACTTAAGAGGAATCCACTGTCATTGTCTATAAACTGTCAATTAATTTAATTGTTGTGAGACGTGATACTGTTGCCTTAAAGCAACACTTCACAGTTTGGATCCAGAAGCAGAAATAAGACATTGTGGGTTTTACTCATGTTTGGAGCAATAGCAGATCTTACTCCTAAATTCTGAAGAGCTCTATCACTCTCTCATAGATTATTTTATCTATTGGGTTTAGTTCTGTGTCTTTTAGAACTGAGACGGCCAAGGAAAATAAAAAAATTACCTTTTTTTTAATATAGTGGCTTATCATGTTGAGTTGTCTGAAAATGCTTCACAGGTAAGTACTGTCAAATGCAGTGACAGATTTTGTGGACAAATGCAACAGCCATTCTGCACATACTGATTGAAACAGCTGTGAAGTGGTTGACCAGTTTTATCTGGAGGATTGTTGACAAGGACACCGGAATAATCTCCTTTCTCTTTTTGAATTGTGTCTTGGGATCTTTCGCAGCCACTCGAATAGGCAGATGGGACCGTGGTTTAACATCCCATCTAAAAGATGGAAACAGGCCTCATAAATGGACAAACTCTTAAATTGCAAATTACTCATATTGCAATTTCACAACGATTTTGATGAAACTGCTTATCACAAATTCACTTAGGAATACAAAGTATATGCTGCCATGACATCTTTCTTTTGCACTGCGCTTGAATACAGGTCTTCACAGATAAAGGATAGAGATAGATACTGATGTTCAAAACTGTTTTCTTTTCTTTCCAGATGCATATACATATTCAGAGGTGAATTACAATTGGACTCATGGACCAGCAAAATCTGTGGTAGTTGCAGAAGATGGCTCTCGGCTGAACCAGTATGATTTACTAGGACAGACTGTGGGGGAAGAGCTCATCCGGTCAAGTACAGGTTTGTAAAAGGGAATTTAATGAAGACTGATGAAATATTATGTTGAAAATTTTGCCACAACATTAAATACAAAATTACAGTGAGTTACAGATATGAATAACGTAAATTTTCACTAAAGACAATCACAGGTGAGGCAACATGAATTGGTATAATGTGAGTTTTCTAGCAGGATTCTAATATTCTAATATTAAGGAATCCATGTTTTCAAATGGAGATTTCTTCTGGTAACTGGAAACACATCATGTTGACCTGCACAATCTCTACTCTGATGTAATCTACTTCCAAAGATGTCAAGGCAGCATATACTTTGTATTCCCAAGTGAATTTGTGATAAGCAATTTTATCAAAATCGTTGTGAAATTGCAATATGAGTAATTTGCAATTTAAGAGTTTGTCCATTTATGGTGCCTGCTTCTAGATTTGGGGGATTTGTTATCAGCAGACATTAGTTAAGAATTCAGTACTTTAGACCTCTTTAATTGAAATTACAGTACTTCGGTATTATCCTTCTAATTGGGACTGCCATTTTTTCCATCTGTCTGAGACGCATTACTGAGATGTGACATATTATCACTTAATAAAGGCAGCCTGATTTGAAGGTCAGCTATCCCAATCAAATTGCGATTGATTGACAGCTGAGCTACTTGTGACTGGGTGGAATGCCCATCCACTCATAAGCAGCTAGAGGCTGTCAATCATCTGGGAGCCATTGGTAATTGGTCCCCTTTCTGTCCCATGGGAATGGCAATGGGACAGAGGCGGTGCTGTCTCCACCTCACTGGATGGGAAAAGGTAAGAGAACTTTGGTTAACCTCGGATGCTGCTTAAGCTGGCAAAATGCACAGCCCAATGTATGCACACACTGCAATAATAATCATTGCATTTGATATAGCGCTTTATCACGTCTTCAAGACATCTCAAAGCGCTTCACAGAACATACTGTAATGTGGATTGACTATGTTTTGTGGGCAATATCTATATATATATAGCATACATATACATAGCATATAATATATATATTATATACACAGATTATATGTATACATGTGTATTTATTTTCAAAAAACAGTTCAAGGAGAATATCACTGATAATTCAGAGAATATCACTGATAATAAATGCAAGGATTATTATTATTATTGTCGGTCTTATCCTAACCACTGTTTTTAAGAGAAATTAAAATATGGTTTGTATTTTACTTGCAGCTGATGCAATGAGCAAAAAGAGTATGGGCTAATGAAAGGTTCATAAATCAAAAGTTATTTATCTTGCATCCTTAAGCCATATCTCAGAAATGTCTACAAAGGCTGCATTTGTTTTAGGACTTCCAATCACATGGTCCATTGTCAGACATAAGGTTTATTCCTGGACCAAGTGAGAATCATGAATGAGAAAATACAGGATTTCCTTGCAATCTGGTTGGTTCTGCATTGTTCGCTTATGAAAGACAGTTTTAAACGGTAATTTGAATTGTTCTAAGTGAATATACACAGCCACAGGCAGAAAACAACACTTAAGATATTGCATTTGTAATTTATGGGCATTGGGTGGCAGGTGCTTTGTTTGCACGGACAATTGCTGTAATTTGGTATATTTGAATAACCAAATACTTCAGGAGTTTGAGTTGCATATGATGATCCCTGCTGACAACTGAAAATCAAAATCATTCTGCCGGTAATTATGTGCTCAACTTAAGAACAAAGGAATCCTCTTTTTTAGTGAGTGAAACATGATTCCTCTCTAAAGATTAATATTGTTGAGTGAGTAGACTCAGGCTGATATATTGTTGTAGGGTACAAGGGCTGATTTTCCTGGCTTCAGATTCAAGTCACAGTTGGATCTCTAGTTGTCTCTGCATGCTGGAAAACCAACTTGACAATAAAAAGTCAGCGATTCAGAGTGAGTAAGGTCCAAAGATGTTCCTTGCCTTCATAGACATCCCAACATCATTGTATAAGTATCGTGATGATTCAATAAGCTCATTCATAGGCTCCATTAGTGTATTTTTTTGAATCTCCTTTGCCAAAGTAACCAACTTGACTCTTCCTCCTTTACTTTCTGGGAACTCTTGAGTTCCCCTCTTTCCTTCCCTCTGCCAAAACAGATCGTTCAATGATGCAGAATGGGAGCCACAGGATTTGCTGGGCTGTCATTGCAAAGCTTATTTTCAACCATCATTCCCGCAGCAAATATTTGCTGCAAACATCTGGATCGACGGCAAGTTGCGCTATTTATCCACTTCATGTCAGCTTTAAGCTCACTAGCAGACGTGAGAAACAAATTAGCACTGGTGAATGGTGAAGCAAGGGTGTTAGCTTTAACATTCTTACCCAACTCATGGTTTCTTCAGGGAATTTGTTGGGAGTTGCTGCTGTGGTGCTAAATTTATAGTGCCAGTGGCAACAACCAACATAAATTCTCATTCTTAATGGTGTTGTGTGATGTTTCCATTACAAGACTATTGTCAAGGTCATTAATAAATAGTATGAATAGAAAGAAGTCCAGGACTGATCCCTCGGGAATCTCCTGGCCACTATTGACTGGTTAGAAATGTTCCCATTGATAATTGCCTTCAGCTTCCTGCTTTCTTGCCGATTTATTATTTAATGCTCAACTTCTTTCTTGATCTCATAAACTTTTGACTTTACTGTTCGGGCTTCTGGCAGCAGATGTACACAGTCTCCAGATTGATCTAGGTTCTTTCCTGAAAAGGATGCTTCAGGCAGCAATTTGATGGCCAAATCTTTTCTGGATGAATGCTCCACTGTGTAGACATCAGATCGGGCTACCTTTTTATCATTTCATCATCATTCTGACATATTCAAAAGAATTATAGAATCTTTTTTTAGTGGTCTGCAATTACATAAGTAAGATTAGCTGTAACACCCCTGTATACATGTTAGCACAACTCACAAATTAGACACCAGTGGCACTGTCACTGCATTCAGGAACAACAAGCAATATTTTGCCCCTTGTGATTTGCTTGTCAAGCAGCAAACTTAACCTCCTATGATAATTTCTCTTCATTTGTTTATCCTCATAACAGGGGTCAACTCCTTTGTAGAAAGATCCATATGTGGCCGACCCCCAACTCTACCTCTTTGCCTCTACATTTAATAATAATAATCCTTTCATTTGATATAGTGGTTTATCACGTCTTTGAGACATCTCAAAGCGCTTCACAGAATATACTGTAAAATGAATTAACTGTATACTTTGTGGTCAAAACATGGCAGCCAATTGTGCACAGCAGTGTCCCACAAGCAGGTGCGGATTGAGTGACCACATTTTTTTTGAAGGGATTATTATCCCCGAAAAAGCGATCCACCAATCGATTAACAACTGGGTTCCTACTTACTGCTAGGTAAACAGAGGAGTGCAGTGTAAGGAAACATGCCCAATGTTTCGCCCTGCCTGGGAATCGAACCCAACTCCACTTGCTTGCAAGGCGAGTAATCTAACCATTAAGCTACTTTTGGCTCCAGGACCAATGCTGACCTGAATGACTGCCTATCAGATATGAAGTCTTTCAGTTAAATAAAGCTGAAGTCACCTTGCTCGCTCCCACTTATGCCTCCCCATCATTCGTTACCACATGTTCAGGGATTCTCTTCAGATTTATTGAGAGTACATGGTTACTGTTATTTCTTCCTATCGCCCACCACTGGCAGGGAGGAATATTCCACAATGTTTAGTTTTGAACGGAGGCTGGAAAAGTGTGGTCAGTTGTACTCTATTTCCTGCATGTGACCTGATTTATAAAACAAGTTTTTTTTTATTTTCTGTTTCCACAGGAAACTTACATTTTATTTTTAATTTCAGGTGAATACAAAGTTATGACAACGCATTTCCACCTTAAGAGAAAAATTGGGTATTTCGTGATCCAGACCTACCTGCCATGTATCATGACTGTCATTCTTTCACAAGTATCATTTTGGCTGAACAGAGAGTCCGTCCCAGCAAGGACAGTCTTTGGTAAGTTATTTCAACACAGAACATTGGTAGAGATTAAAATGGTACGTCTGTTTTAGACCAAAATACCATAAACATGATTTTAAACCAGTTTTCTAAATAATAGTTTTTATCTTTGAAATGAAACAACTGACACAAAATGAAGGAGAAATTTGACCTGGATCTAGATTTATTCTACTGTGTTGCATTTCAGAGCGTCCAGAATTTGGCCAAATTATTGAATTCAGACTTAACTTTGAAGTAAATTTGCTCTGTCTCCCGATTCAGGTGGACATTAAAGATCCCATTGCACTCAAAAATGGGATAAAATAAAAATTCCTGCTCAACAATCTCCCAAATAAAATTGGTCATTCACTTCACGACTATTGCTGTGAATAAATTGTTAACTGCATTCACTCACAAATTATGCAGTCACTTCACTTCAAACTATATCTTGTGAAGCGTTTTGAGAAGTATTGGTGTAAAAGACACTGTACCAAATTTAAGGATTATTATTATTGTATTATTAACATCAAAGTTCACTTTCTCTTAATCTTAAAAGAATTTATAGAAAACTAGATTCAAATTATGAATGTGTTTAAGAATTTTCTGGATGTGCTTAAATGTTACAAAACAAAATTGAGTAAACCTAGACCTGGGTGGAATTTCTGCTCCAAAAGTCCTTTGCTTTTCATATTTATCTCCATAACTTTATGACTGCTTTGGATTTTTTAAGGTGTTGAATTGTAGATATTTGAAGGGTATTTGGTTCAGTAGCACTGATCACTTGAATATTAAATTAATTTAAACCATGGTCATAAAAGCTTGCAGAAACTGTAAAGCTCACTTACCATCGAAATAATGATGTGGCAGAGTACTCTGTAAGATCATTACAAGGTAGGCTTTGATAATGGCAAATTTTCAATGCATAAAATTAGGCAAATGAATATTAATCTGCCCATTCTTCTGATACGTCATTAATTGTATTGCAGATTTGATGTAGATGGCATTACATTGTCCAAGATTATTGGGAAATAAGATGAAGTTCTGTTGTCTGCTTATCTTGTTGTTGTAAGACAATTAATGTTTTTGGAATTTTACAATCTTCTGTAAGGAAATAAAGCTAAGTGCTCAAACATTACATCAGGACTTTAGGTTTACAGTCCAGACTGGCACTCCAATCAAATGCAATGCTGAGAAAGGGATGCATTGTCGGAAGTGCCGTACTTCGGATGAGATGTTAAACTGAGGTTCTGTCTGCTGTTCAAATGGACATTAAAGTTTCTCCAATTGGCCTAGCCAACAGTTCCCCAAATAAAATTGGTCACTCTCTTCATGGCTGTTGGTGCAAATTGGCACTATGTGCACCCACAAATACACAACCCTTCACTTAACGATAAATCCTGTGAAGTGCTTTTTCAATGTGAAATGCATGGATTGTCATTATTAGTTGTAATAAGTTCAGTCACACAATTTCAAGTTGTTTGTAGTTTTCTTATATTTTTATTCTTATGTCTCAAAATTTCATCTGAAGGACGGAACATCTAACAGTACAGCCCTGTACTGCAGTGTTAGCCTAGATAGTGAGTTACACAATGAAGATGATAAAACTAACAGTACAATAGTACAATTTAATTTGCAATGGCACTGCTCTCTCTATTGATAAAAAGAGGCTGCTCCCATCATTTATTAATCTTTTCCTGAATAAGGTCATCTGTTGAGTGAAGGAATGCTATGGATATTAATTGATGTGAATTCCACTCTCAAACCTGCTAGCTGTTATATTTATGTGGAAAGTTCGATGATGTGAATGAGGTCGTGGGTTTCAACTTAAAAAGGTTCAAATGAGACTAGAGATTATTTCATGCTGAGAGTAGTGGTTGTGTGGAACCGACGCCAGCAAATGTATTGCATGCTGTGATGATTAATGGCTTCAAGAAAAAATTGCGTAAATCTTTGGTTTAACCAGTATTGGAAGTTGTTGAGTGAAATGAGCAAATTTCCAAAGAAACAATGCTTTCTGTCTGTTGCTGGCAGAATATAAAAGCCCTAATTGGTGCACATTAATTTATGGACTCTAAAATTTTAAGACTAGATTTATTCAGTTTCTGAAACATTGACCAGTTTTGTTTTTCTTAGTAAAGGTGCCAGAAGTTTCACACTGAACAAAGTGTAATGCACCATGTGGCCACTAAGTGGCAGCCCACCCACCCACCCAGAGCATTGGCTCCTGACCTCCTGACTGCCATCTTGTTCGCTTATCGCGTTGTATTTTATTGTTTTTAAATGGTAACCCTAGAGGGTGTAGTAAACTGTTCTTCTAATAGTTTAATAGTTATTTACTCATGGTTGGATATGCCAAAGTGCGGTGAATTTCCTACTCTCCCTGGTTCAGAAAATATTATTTGCCAATTGGGATCAAGGCATTGGGCTTAGCCAGAGCCAGCACTCTGGGACATAGCACTGCCACCTAGTGACCACTCATGTATTAGTTTGCGTATAGTGTTAATCCTCTGCTGTTCAGTTTCATAATAAACATTGCAAATGACAATGATAATTCAAGTTATAATAATAATCCTTGTATTTGATATAGCGCATTTCACGTCTTCTAGGTGTCTCAAAGCGCTTCACAGAATAGACTGTAAAGTGAATTGACTGTATATGTGGAGTCCTGTAGCTCAGTGGTTAGAGCACTCGCTTTGCAAGCGAGAGACCTGAGTTCAATTCCAGGCAGGTCAGGGCGAAACCTTGGGCAAGTTTCCTTACTCCACACAGAGCCTAATAATAAACCCTCCAAAAACCAAAAAAAACAATAATAAATTGGTCATTTTCAATCCACGACTGTTTGTGGGACATTGCTGTGCGCAATTGGCTGCCGCGTTCGCCCACAAATATACAGTCAATTCACTTTACAGAGTGTTCTGTGAAGCGCTTTGGGACGTCCTCCTGACGTGAAAAGCGCTATATCAAATGCAAGGATTATTATTATTATTATTATTTTGTGGGCGAAACTCGGCAGCCAATTGCGCATAGCAGTGTCCCACAAACAGTCGTGGATTGAAGTGACCAATTTATTATTGTTTTTTTTTGGAGAAATTATCATCAGGTGTGGAGTAAAAAAACTTGCCCAAGGTTTCATCCTGCTGGGAATCGAATCCAGGTCACTCGCTTGCAAGGCGAGTGTTCTAACCACTGAGCTACATGTGTCAGCATAACGTAAATTAACATTACATTATGCTGGCATAATTTATGAAAACTGCAGATTTACTTTCTTTATTTTTTTTTGGATATTTTGAAATATGCAAACAATAAGGTTAATTGGTTGTGTATGCGTTGATTTTGATAGCAAAATAATAAAAGCAAATCCTTTTCCCTATGAGATTATCATTGTGTATTAAGATACATTAATCCAAATTAATACAATAACAAAAGACAAAATACTGCAGATGCTGGAAATCTAAAATAAAATCAGAAGTCACTGGGAACATGCAGCAAGTCAGGTAGTATCTATCGAGAGAGAAACATGAGTTAATGTTTCAGGTCGATTGGGAGTATTTTCATATGAAAGGAGAACTTTGTTCCTGAGTGTTTCCTTGAACTCCAATCAGATCAGTTTTTGGGAGACAGCATGATGGTCATGGATTGCCTGGAGGAGACATACTTTATATCTTGAAGTGTTTATACTGATGCAAGGTGCCATTGATACTGTTGTTTTCGTGATAGGCAATTTTTAACTCCTTTGTATCAAGGTTTTGAATTTATCAAGCTTCAAGTGAGACGTGAAATTGGAATTGTGCAACAGACTCCCGAGAAAAAACAATTAAACTCCTATTGATCAGAGATGACTTTTCTTTTAAGAAGTTGGATATCTAGTTACAATAGGATTAAAGGTTTAGGGATAAGTATGCACAGAGCTGATCGAATACCTCATTAAAAATCCACCTCTGCCACATCCTGATTCATTCATAATTGATCCATCTGTGTTGCTACATTTAAACCATATATTTGCGAGGTACAGAGGCACAATAATAATAATGATAACAATCGTTACATTTGGGATAGCACCTTTCGTGTCATGGGGATGTCTTTCCAAATTACTTCAGAGACTATAAAACAAGAACTTGCAGTGATTGTGTATTTTGGAGACAAAAAGCAACAGCTAATTTGTGCACAGCAACGTCCCAAAAACAACCATGAAATAAATGTCCAAATTTATATTGTGGATTGTTGGTTAGGACACAGGGAGAAACTCCCTTCTCTTTTCAAATAGTGCTAGACACAATGACGGGCCAGATAGAATCATATGGTGGGCCGTATATGGCCCGCGGGCCATCTTTTGCCCACCCCTGGTCTAGACCATTGTACTGGAGTGTCAGCCTAGACTATTGTACTGGAGTGTCAGTCAACACTATTGAGTTTAAACCTCATGAGCACAAGTTGGCCCTCTGTGCTGGCATCGCAATCTTGCTCCTGGGATAGATACCATTAGCTGGTGCCATCTGGTTCGAAGGCATCACCACAACAACTTGATTGTTATAGCCCCTTCATGTGGTAGCATCCTGGAGCAAGACACGTTTTTAATTATTAAAATAATAACAATTTACCTGAAATTCAATTTAAAACCATTATGCTTTAAATTTTTAAGATTTTACAGGATTGTGGAAATTCTTCAATTCAATCTTAATTTGGAAGAATACTATAGTTCAGAACTAATAGATGTTTCAGGTTTTATGATACCAGAGTAGAGCCAAACTCATGTCTATATTCTCTAATAAGTAAATGCATCCATATTCATTGGTCTAATGAGGCCAATTCTCATTAGAGTAATGACAAAGGGTCATGGACCCAAAACATTGTCTCACTTTCCTTTCTCCATAGATGCTGCATGACCTACTGAATGTTCCCAGCGACTTTCGTTTTTTGTTTTCAGATTTCCAACATCCGCAGTATTTGGTATTTTGTATTTGTGATGTCTGATTCAAGAAGTTGGTCTAAGGGTGAATTTAGAAATGCATCCTTCATTT